TTGGGGCTTTGGTTTCAGGATTTTGCTCTCCAGCTCCAGCTTTAAGATTCAAGGCTTAGGGTTCAAAGATTCAGAAAGCCTCTTGGGAATGTCCTCACCTACGGGTCCGCAATTCTGGGGCATACGTTTTTCGGACATGAGATGGACACTGCAAGCTTGCATATTCCGGCGACGTCGAGATGCCTCGACACTTGCATTTTGTTTGTGTTGGATGTTGGGATGCTCTCCTGCAGCTTTACTCCCAGGATTCAGTTCCGTAAAGGTACAGTACCCTTCGCAAAATCCTACGAAAATCTGGGAGGTAGATCTCCTTTAAGGCTCCAAGAGATTTACTTCAAAAGAACTTAACATGTTGCACGGACTCGGAGGTCCTTCTATGTAGTTCCTACGCAGCGATACAGAATTGGGCAGACAAGAGGAAACTCCTACAGCAGGCACGGAGTCGAGTGCTAGGCCATCGGAAGTAGGTCGAGAAACCGAAGTCTACCAGAATCCACCAGGCATCCAACAAGATGTATGATCTATGAACTCTTTCCCCAACAACAAAACATAAAGCGCTTAGCTACTATTAGCATGATGGTAGACTCTGAACCTATCCGAGCCCCTGGCTGTCACTGGTCCTGTTACGGGTGAACCGTCGGCGTAGACCAAACTGTGGGGAGGAACCTGTCACAGTCCAAGGCTCAGGTTCTTGTGCAAGAGATTCATTGTTGAGGTGAGATGATTGCATGCGATCCGCCGTCTCCTGTGCATCCAAATGTCTAGCCAAGAGCCCTGATAGCTTCAGAGCCGTGAGCCCCCTTTTGCATCTTCAAAACTCTCCAGCACAAGACTCTCTTTGCGCCCTGCGCGCTTGGAGATTTTGGGGACTTGGGTTCAAGGTTTCAGGTGCTTTTCCAAAAAGTCACATCAAAATCCTAGGGACACACATGGACGATAGGGAGCATCGTCCCCAATGCATCTGAGGTGCAGTCACGGAGGAGCCAGAAGCAGGATCCATGACCATGCCACCCTCACTCCTGAAGGCTGCGGTGGATCAAAGGGGGATTATAGGGGTTTTATTATAGGGATTCTATAGGGGCTAT